GACATGGATCCTACTTCAGCTTTAAGCAGGTAGATGTCCAATTCTGCCAGCAACATTTGTTGAAGAGGTTATCATTTTCCCATTTGATAGTTTTTGTTTCCTTGTGGAATACCCGTTGACCATAGGCAGATAGATTAGTTTCTGGATTATTGATTTTATTTCATTGGTCTATGTGTCTGTCAATGTACCAGTACCATATTGTTTTGGCTATTGCAGCTGTGTAGTAGGTTTTGAGATCACAGGAGTGCTATGCCTCTCATTTCATTCTTGTTTTTCAGAAGTTCAGGGTTGCTTTCCTTTCTAAATTAACTTGCCAACTGCCTTTCATAATTCTTTGAAAAAATGAATCTGATATCTGTATTGAGATTGCATTAAACATGTAGATTACTTTTGGAAGGATTGTAATTTAAACTATATTGAATCTTCTTAACATGAAGGAGAAAGTTCCAGGGGCTCTGAAGGAATTGACAAAAAAATAAAGCCCCAGGAACTGATGGCATATCAGTTAACATATTTCAATGAACAGATGCAGCCCTGGACATGCTGACTAGGTTGTGCCAAGAAATTTGGAGGACAACTAGCTGGCCAACTACGTGGAAAAGTTCCATGTATGTCCCTATTCCCCCAAAAGGAGACTGATTTTGTGTGGAAATAACTGAATAATATTACTAATAACACATGCAGGCAAAATCATACTGAAGACTATCCAAAAATGACTGGACCAGTACATCAACAGAGAACTACCAGAAATGCAAGCTGGGTTTAGAAGAGGTCGTGACACTAGGGACATCATAGCCAAAGTCAGAAAGAGAGTATCAGAGGAATTTCTGTGTTTCACTGACTATGCAAAATCATTTTACTGTGTGAATCACAACAAAGTGTGGCTAACACTGAGAAGAATGGGAATTCCCGAACACTTGATTATGCTCATGTAATACCTATACCTGGATCAGGAAGCCATCAGCAGAACAAAGCAAGGAAACACTGCATGGTTCAAAATTAGGTAAGAAATGCATCAGGGATGTGCCAGTCCCCATGTACTTTCAATCTGTATGCAAACAGATCCTTCTGGAGGCTAGATTTATGAGGAGGAATGCAGCATCAGGGTTGGAGGCAGACTCTTCAACAACCTACATATACAGATCATACAACCTTGCTTATGAAAACTGAAGACGACTTGAAGTGTTTGCTGCAAAAGGTTAAGAAATATAGTCTTCAATATAGACTGAAACTCAACATCAAGAAGACAAAGATTTTCTCCTTAGAGCCAACTGGTAACACCATGATAAATGGAGAAGAGATTGAGATTGTTAACAGCTTAACTTGTTTGGCTCTATAATCAACATTCTCAGTAACCAGTAGTAATCAACATTCTCAGTAACCAGTAGTCAGGAAATCAAAAGATGAATTGCATTGGGGAAATCTGTCAGGGGCATCTCCAGAGTGCTAAAGAGCAATGACGTCAGTTTGGAGACAGGTGCACCGGATCCAGGCCGTGGTCTTCACAGTTGCTTGCTATGCATTAGAGAGCTGAAAAAATGTCTAAGAATGACAGAAGAAGAACTGATGCCTTTGAGTTGTGGTGCTAGAGAAGAGTCTTGAACATTCCATGGCCTGTCAAGAGAACAAACAGGTTTTTCCTAGAGAGGGTAAAACCAAGTTTCTTCTTGGAGGCAAGGAATTTGAAGTTCTATCTGACATACTTTGGCCATGTTGCCAGGTGGGACCAGTCCTTGGAAAAGGACATCATGCTTGGAAGGATAGAGAGACAGCATAACAGTGGAAGATCCTGGAAGAGATGGACTGACATGGTAATGCAGGTAGGGGTGTCAGAGACAGTGATACTGGCTCAATATAAAACAGTTTTGAGAGCTATTGTGCACATGGTCACAAGAGTCAAAAGTGACATGACTCAATAGCACATGTCAACAATAACAACATCATTTACAGGGAACATTTTCCCATTTAATCAAGCCTCTTATTGTTTCTCACAACAGTATTATGTCGTTTTCTTTATAATGGTCTTTTGTATCTCTGTTGTTGTTGTTGATTGCCTTTGAGTCCAGCACGACCCTATGAACAAAAGGCCTGATGCCCCTCTACAACTATCAACATTTATCAAAGTTTATAGAGTTTCTGGAGGCATGTTATTTAGGAAATGGATTCCAGGTTTATTTCCAAGTATCTCAATTTGTGGTCAGCTATTTTAAATGGTATTGATTTCTTAGTTTCTTTATCTTGTGTTTTCTTTGTTACTGTAGAGAAATCCCACTAATTTTTTGATATAATGATCTTGTATCATGCCACTCTACTGAATTTGTCTACTATGTTTAACAGCTTTTTTGTTGAGTCATTGGGGTTTTCTGTGTCCACTATCATGCCATCTGCATATAACGACAGTTTAACCACTTCTTTTTTTTAAATTTTATTAATTTTAATGAACATTCACAGAGATTTTTGGATTTTCATTCATTCATTGTTGCACTTTTTTCTTTACGCTCCTCCCCCCGGTTCGCTCCTCTCTTTGAAAAGCAAAAGATAAACTTCTTTTTCAACCTGGATGCCTCTTATTTCCTTCTCTTGTCATGCTACGCAGGTAAGTACTTCCAATACAATATAGAAAATAAGTAGAGAAAATGGGCATTCTTGTCTGGACCTTGCTTACAAGGTAAATGCACCTTATACTGAGTGAAAAATCTCAGTCACAAACATACAAATACTGAAAAATGCCACTTGTGTAGAACAGGACTAACATGGGGGTTCAGGGGAAACTGAGAAAAGAGTAGATAAATAATAAATACTGCTTTGGGCCAGATGAGGGAAATAATTGTTTAAAAGGAATATGTGATTAGGCATTACAACAGTCCAGAATAAGAGGTGCATAGCAAAGTGGACTGCAGGGGGAGGGGAGGGAATTGTGCAAAAATGAATGAACATTTTTAAGAGAAAAGCAAACTGGATTGAGGTTGGTAGGACGGAAAATGTACAACAATGAATGAATGGAAATTCAAGTTTTCTGTAAACTTTCATTAAAATAATAATTAAAAATATTTATTAAAAAACCCCAATATATGTGAACTTTGTAAGTAAAGCCATATAAAATTAAAATTTTCTTTTGAAAAAGGAAACTATTGTATTAGATCACTATTATAAACAGCTAAAGAAAGGATTGAATCATTCTAATATGATTTCCAGGGAGGGAGAGAGAGGGAAGCAGAAAAAACTTAATATTTTCTGAACTCTGTTGGATCACTTTTTTCAATGGGAATAATGATGAACATCTTCCAGTCAACTGGGCAGGTAGCTGTCTTAAAAATTTCTTGCCATATGCTAGTGAACAAGTGCAGAAATGTGTATGTTTGCTGAAACATACCAACTGGATTTCCACCTATTCCTTGGGCCTTATTTTTGCCAATGTCTTCAGTACAGCTGGGACTTCTTCAGTACTACTGGCTCTTAATAAGGTATTTCCTGAAATGGTTCAGTATAGGCCAATTCTTTTTGGTACAATGATTATTCCTTTTTTCTTCTTTGATCCCTCTTGCATCATTTAGTATTTTGTTCATAGAATCCTTCATTATTTATTGTAACTCAAGGCTTGATTTTGTTCTTCAGTTTGTTTAGATTTTTTTTTTCCGTTTGAGAAATGCTGAGCATGTTCTTTGTTCTCTTTTGGTTTCACCTCCAGCTCTCTGCACATTTTGTTATACTACTTTGTTTTCTCGAGCTGTCTTTTGAAATCTCCTATTCAGCTCTTTTTCTTCAGCATGTCTTTCCTCTGTTGTGGCTTCTTAAAATTCTAGTACAAATTTCAGAGTCTCTTCTGACACATATTCTTGCTTTCATTTTGAATGATGCCCTCGATGTCATGCAACAACTAATTTGGTCTTTACAGTTCAATCCATCAAATCTTTTTTTATTTTAGATCTTTTTAAAATTTAGTTAGAGTAGACCCAAAATCATATTTCAGTTCCCTTGAACTTGTTTTCATTTCATTCTACTTAAATTTGGGTGTGTACATGTGTAACTGAAGGTCTGTTCCACAAGTGACCACTTTGTTTTGACTGTTGATACTGAGCTTCTCCATTGACTCTTTCCACTGTTGCAGTCAACCTGATTCACCTGTTAACACCATCAGGTGAAGTCCATGTGTATAGCTGGTGCTTATGATACATTGTTATTATTGTATACTATTGAGTCTGAACCAAATCCATAGCTGACCCTCCAGTGGATTTTCAAAGGCAGTAAATTTCACAGAAGGACATGCTCATCTTTCTCTCATGGGGTAGCTGGTGGATTTGAATAATGTACTTTTACGCTGGTAGTGCAATTCCTTACCACTAACCACCAGAATTCCCAAAATTATATATTATTTATCAATAATAAATACATCATTTTGGTTCTCTTTTGTCTCTCTCACTTAGTTCATGACTAAGTAAAGAGACAACTTAATGGACCCCTCTAAAACATTACACATAATAAGTAGTTATTAAGAGGCCAGCCCTGTACTACTAACTAGATCAAGAAACACAACTGTGTGAGTCACCACAGATTACCTTTCAATCATGAACCTCCATCTTCCCAAAAGTATCAACACTCTTATGTTACATTTTTATCATCTATGAGTATATCTCTAGATGTTATGGATTAAACTTTAGCTTTTTCTAAAAAAAGGGCACATAATATATACCTTAAAATTTGTAATAAAAATGTTTTTCCTTTACCATTGATAATTTCTCAAGAATAATAAAGCATCTAACTAATTCAAGATAATACTATAAGCAGATTAGAGAAAGAGAATTAAATCTTTAAATCTGCAAATGGTGAATGTTTAAAATTATTTTAAATAATACTTCCTCATTAAAAAATGGTAAGAAAAAATTCAGGAAGTGAACTATTTATAATATTATCTTCCAATTTATGAACAAAAATTATTTTTAAGGCAATTTTAAAATATTGGTTATAAAAGAAAAACTTTTAGAATTATATAGAACTCTTACCTTGTCCTTTTTTTCTTTAAGAATAACTGTGTTTTCTTTTGCTTCTCTTTTGAGTTTTTCCTATTAAAAATACAGAAGTACAAATAGCATAATCACAATTATACAAATATTACATCATTTAAATAATATTATATCTTATAAATTTATGTTGTTATTGTTATGTGCCACTTGTGACTCATAGAAAGAGAAATAAAAACAAATTAAGAAAAAATAATAGTAAGAGTTATAAGAAGAGAAGCATAAAATTCTAGGTTGAAAAATTTTTATCTGTTCAGTAGAGGAGGAAAAATCCCAAGCCTTTGGCCTGGTTACAGAAATTCATATATTGTTGTTGTTGTTAAGTGACATTGAGTCAATTATGATTCACAGTGATTCCATGAACAATGGATCAGAATTCTGTCCTATCCTGCACCATCCTTATCAGTTTTGATACATTTGAGTCCACTGCCACAGACATTTATCAATCCATCTCATTGAGGACCTTCCTCTCCTTTGTTGACTTTCTACCTTTCCAAGAATTATGACCTTTTTTAAAGAATAGCCTCTCCTAACAACATGCCCAAAATATGTGAGATAAAGCTTCAACATCTTTGCCTCCAAGGAACATTCTGGTTGCACTTTGTGCAAGACTTCTCTATTTTTTCTTTTGGTAGTCCATGGGAAGTTCAACATTCTTCTTCAGTACCACTACTCAAATTCATCAGTTCTTCTGTCATCCTTATTCACACAGTTCTTATATGCATAGCAGGTGACTGGAAAGACTGTGACTTTAATCAGGCACACCTTAGATTTTAAATTGACGTCATTACTCTTCAGGCCTTTGGAGAGATCCTTGACAGCAGACTTTCCTAAAGTTATAAGTCTCCCAATCTAAAATTGTTGACAATTTCAACCTTTTATCCATCTATCATGATGTTTTCTATTATAATAGAAAACCTGTGAAATAGAATTGTTAGTTTTACAGTAAACCATTTACCAGTTGATTCTGACTTACTGTCTACCATGATATGACATTTTGAGGTTATTTTTTATTTTATTATTTGTTGGGGTTTTTTAACATTTCATTATCTTGATGATGATGATCTTTTTCTAATGTGTGTAAATAGAATGATGAATAAATTTTCTAAAACTATGGATCTCAAGGTTTTTGTTTCTAAAATGAACTGGGTAAGTCCAGTTTCTAAGACAAGAAGGACATACAAGTAACTAACTTATTTGTAAGGAGTTACAAAGAGGTCTAAACTATTAAAGCCTGTTAGAGGTGGAATTTTTACTCCCCTGAATTAGATGCATTTCAGTTTATCATGTATAATGAACAATTTTCAAATGAGACAAACAGGGATAAAAGATAAAAGAACAAGAGTATACTTATGTTCACTGAAGCTTTATTTACACGACCAAAGATATGCAAGTAATCCAAATGTTAATCATGGGATGAATCTATAAACAAACTAAGACACATATATACACAATGGAACACCAGGCAACACTAAAAAATAATGAAGAATTTAAAAAATACCACATAACATGGATGATTCTATAGACCATTATCATGCTTAGTGAAACAATCAGCCAAAAAAGGACAAATACTATATGAGAGCACTATTATAATAAGCTAAAGAAAAGTTTATGCACAGAAAGAAGCTTTCTTTGAATGCTTACTAATGTTGAGGGGTGAGGAAGAAAGGAGCAAAAATCAGAAAAATAACAATTAAAAATTTGAGAAGCAAAGGTAATCACATGAATAAATACAGAAAAGTACACATATTTAGGAAATAACATCAGTTTTGCTGGAGAATAGAATGTATATATAGAAGTTATAAGGGAAAAGTAGTAATCAGAGTTTTGGTCAGGATGAGAAGCACAAAATTCTAGGTTTGTAGAATTTCTAGTTTATTCAGTACAGAAGGAAAAATGCCAAACAAAACAAACCTTAAGTGTAACCTAAAGAAATGAATATGTGTGTGTGTGTGTGTGTGTGTGTGTGTGTTTATACATATCTATATGTGTATATATGTATGAGAGAGAGAGAGAGATTGTAATATGACAGCCATCTGTGAAACATAATTGTTAGTCTTACAGCAAACCATTTACCATTAAGTTGATTCTGAATCCACATAAAACCCATATGTGTCAGGAAAAAAACTATACTCCATAAATTTTTCAATAGCTTATGTTTCAGAAACAGCTCACACAGCCTTCCTTTTCAAGTTGCCTCTAGAAGGAATCAAACCTTGAATTTTTCAACCAAGTATACCTGACCATTGGCCAAATGGCAGCATCATGATACATGGAGAAGAGACTGAAGTTGTTAACAATTACAGCTTGCTTAGCTCCACAAATCAACACTTTTGGCACCAGCAGTCAGGAAATCAAAAGACTAAGTGCATTGCGAAAATCTGTGCTCAGGGACCTCTCCAGATTATTGAAATGCAACAATGTCAGTCTAGAGACTAAGGTGCACCTAATCCAGGCCATGATCTTCACAGGTACCTGTTATGCATCTGAGAGCTGGATGATGACTAGCGTTTACAGAAGAATCTCCGATGCTTTTGAGTTGCTGGAACATACCATGGACCACCAAGAAAACAAATAGGTCTGTCTTGGGCACAAGGCCAGGAGGGACCAATCCTTGGAGAAGGACATCATGCTAGGAAAGGTGCAGGGACAGTGCAGGAGAGGAAGATCCCAGGTGAGATGGACAGATACAGTAACTGGGGCAATAAGGGCAGCTGTATCAGAGGCAGTAAGACTAGCTCAGGACAAGGTAGGGTTCAGAGCTGCTGTACGTAGAGTCACTATGGGTCACAGGCAACTCGACAACACATAACAACAACCACAACCTGACCATTTGCTAGTCCATCCAAGGACTCCATGATAACCTTAGGGAACCTGTAATGTCCCAGAGAAACAATAACCTGCCAGTATCTATACTCAATGAATACTTTATATACCTCATCGTACATCTCCCACAATGTTACTCTCAACAGAGATTTCACTTTACCATGAGAGCATGAAATACAGGGAGTTCTGGTGGACTAGTGGCAAAAAGCTGCACTGCAATCCCAGAGGTATGTGGTTTGAATCCACCAGATGCTCTGCTGAAGAAAGAAAGGCAATCTCCTCCTGTACCAGTCAGATCAGATTTGATGGTACACATACAAAAAATAAGAAGATAAAATAAATTTAAAACAGTATTTACCATTCTTATTTTTATGCAACCAACAACAGTTGTATTTTAGCAAGAGTGACAACTGGGGTCTACATTAAGGAGCTGGAATGTTCTTCGTAGAATAAAGTATACACTCTTAAATGATCAGGATTAAATTGACATACTTTCCCCCTCAAAATTATTTTTATTGGTTTGCATACAATCATTTATATACACTATGCTTCAAGAATGTGCATTATGTTTCATTCATGTAAACTGTTTTATATAATCATTCATATTGTTACTGCTGCTGTTGTTATGTGTTGTCAAGTCACCTGCAATCCATAGCAACACTATGTACAACAGCCCTAAACCCTGCTCTATCCTTCACCATCTTATTGTGTCTGACACACATAACCCCATTACCCCACTGAATCAATCCATTTCATCGACAGTTTTCCTATATACATTGTATTTTATACAATTAATTAGTATTGATCCATGTCTATCATTACTGTTTTTTCAAGTCTCCATAGAAAATTTCCTATTCCTACACTTCACATCTTTCCTATTCTTTCACTACCTCATATGCCCACTATGCTCACCTATCCTCATTTCTCTCCTTCCTCATTTTCTGCCCCCTCCTCTTTTTCCTCTTATCCTTTTGAACATTTATATTCATCTTGCTCCATTATTCTTCTATTTTTGCAACAGTGGCCCTATGCAGATTTGTTTTTATATGACTGAGTTATCTCACTCAGCATACTGCTCTCTAGACTCTTCCATGTTATGTAGTATTTTATGAAATTATTCCTTAGTGCTACAGAGTATTTCATTGAGGACTGTACAATAATTTCTCAATCCATTAATTTGTTAACAGGCGTCTGGGCTGTTCCCATTTTCTTGCTACTGTGAATAACAATGCTATGAACATAGGTTTACTTATTTCCATTTGTGTCTCAGTTCTAATTTGCTTGGGCTATATTCCTAGCAGTGGAATAGTGGGGTCATATGAGATAATCTAAGTTCAGCTTTCTTGTTTGTTTGTTTTTTAAATAAAATTTTTATTTTATACTGGTTTATTTACAAAATTCTTACACATTGTTTTTTACACCATATCTTTCCCATTTCCTATACCCACCTCTCCCTTTACCCATCAAATTGTGCAACCCTAATCACCAAACTGCCTTCCAGAGTAAATATAGGAGAGACATTCATAAGGTTATGAGACACATGAAGAAATGTTCAGTTACTAACAATCAGATGTAAATCAAAACAATAATAAGATACCCTCTCACTCCAGTAGCAATGGCAAAATTTAACAGGATGGCAAATATATGTTGTAGAGGATGCAGAAGTTAGAACTCTCAATAACTGATGGTGGGATTGTAAAATGGTAAACTACTCTGGAAGGCAGTTTGAAATGGCCTCAAAAAGCTGACCACAGAAATTTCATAATATCCAAGGAAATCAGAACTGAAACATGAATGGAAATATGTACACCTAAATTTACATTCTTACAGTTAGAATACATGTCTTGGCTTCTAGAGTGTTACAGGAGGGAGTAAGCAACTCTCACCACTATCTCTACAACTCTGCCATTCAACAATCTGGAGATCTGATCTTAGTACAGTCTGCCCTAATAAAACAAATGATTCTCATGTGTGGATCAGTGCAAACACAAATATGGATCTTTGGTAAGGTTCAAATGGATCATGAGTTTTCTTAAGACTAAAACGATGAACAACACACTAAGATCCCTTTTTAATATGAACAAATAGAGAAGTGACTCAAGACACCAGATTAAAGAATATAGCATTGTGACCAAAACTCAGACCTAAATCAATTTACAAATGTTAAGCCCTTTGAATAAAAAAATCCTAATATTCATGAGGAAGAATTCTGAAAT